GCCTCTCACAGCCTCCATGCTCACCTTTTCATAACTACACCTCAAGGAAGGCATTTTGAACACATTCCAGACACTCACTTTAGATCAAGCGGGTTTTGCACCATGAAGTCACTGAGGTGATACTAAAGGCAGGATGTTAGTATCTCCAAGGGTTATGCCAGTGCCACTCGATTTTACTTGAAAAGATGCTCAACATCACTCATTATTAGAGAAGTGCAAATCAAAACAACAAAGAGGTATCCCTTCACACTGGTCAGAATGGCCATCATCAAAGAGTCTACAAATAATAAATGCTGGAGAGGGTATAGAAAAAAAAAGGAACCATCCTACACTGTTGGTAACCATGTACATTGGTGCAGCCACTATGGAGGACAGTACAGAGGTTCCCTAAAAACTAAAAATAGAGTTATTACCATGCGTGCGTGCATGCTGTCACTTTAGTCGTGTTCAACTCTTTGCGACCCTCTGGACTGCAGCCCACCAGGCTGCCCTGTCCATGAGATTCTCCAGGCAAGAATACTGGAGTGGGTTGCCATGCTCTCCTTCAGGAGATCTTCCCGACCCAGGAAGACCTGCATCTCCTGGACTGCCTGCATCAAAGGTGGTTTCTTTACCCCTGAGTCACTGGGGAAGCCAGAGTTACCATATGATCCAGCCATCCCACTCCTGGGCATGTATCTGAAGAATATTCTAATTTGAAAAGATACATATACCCCAGTGTTCATAGCAGCACTATTTACAATAACCAAGACGTGGAAGCAACCTAAATGTTCACTGACAGATGAACATTGTGGTGTACACACACACACACACATCCCAGAACACTACTCAGCCATAAAAAGGAAGGAAATAATCCCATTGCAGCAAATTGGGTAGGCCTAGAGATGATCATACAAAGTCAGACAACTAGAGACAAATATGGTATGATATGATAGAGACACATATGATATCACTTATATGTGAAATCTAAAAAAAAAAATGATTTAAATGAATTTATTTATAAAACAGAAACAGATTCTCAGACATGGAAAACAAACTTATAGCTACCAAAGGGCAAGGGGGAGGGATAATTAGGAGTTTGGGATTAACAGATACACACGACTATATAAAATAAACAAGATCCTACTGTATAGCACAGGGAACTATAGTCATTATCTTGTAATAAACTATAATGATGAGACTTTAAAAGAGAATATATATAGATAAGGGTAAAAAGGATTTCCGAGAAGTCTCAATCATCAAATAATTGTTGTTGCTGCTTTCTCCTGGGAGCTGATAGGGAAGGAGCCTCTGGTAGGGGTGAGATCTCTCTCAGCATCCCCCAGGCTGTAATAGAACAGAATTTGATGGCCACGTCTGCCTCCTGGCGCTCTTTCCCAAGGCACGGGGTCATGGAGCTCACACAAGCCAGCCCAGGCTCCAGAAAGCTGATGCTTGGAGGAAACAGGTTTTGCACTGGAGGAGTGTGTGCCTCCTGTGACACGGGGCGCAGAGAGGGACCACACCCTGGGTGGGTCATCCCTATGCCTGGCTCCTAATGGAGACCCTAAGCACTAGCTTAGAGGTCCTGGGTGGGCGTGTGGCCATGCAACCCACAGCTTTCCAGAACGGTGGAGAATATTTTTATGCCTTTTGCTCATGAGTCATAGGGATATTCAAGACCCTCACACAGACTTCAAAGAGCTCCAAGGATGTTTTCAAAGTACTTTTTGGATACTAATGCAATATTTGTGACATCCAAAGAAAGAAAATTCCCTGGTAGAGATCTGAACTAAAATTATTGTGCTCATCAGCAATTTGTGACGGCACAGAGTGCTTGGTTCTGAAAATAGAACAAAGACGCACATCCAGTCTGTTCTTAGCTCTTCTGGGTAATCATACTCTGAAAAAGCCTGGGGTGGTGTTTAGGTCCTTTGAGGGTAAGCAACAGAGATGTCCAGTTTTCTGCTGATGGGTGGGGCTGTATTCTCTCCCTGTAGTTTGTCCTCAGGCCAAACTACAGTAGGGGTAGTGGTAGTAACAGCAACCTCCTTCAAAAGGACTTAGGCCAGCACACCATGGCTCCTAGAACTGTTGTATTCAGTGCCCCTGACCCGCAGCAGGCCACTGTCAACCCACGCCTCCGATGGAGACTCCTGGACACTCACAGGTGAATCTGGCTCAGTCTCTGGTGGGGTCACCACTCCCTTCTCGTGGGTCCTGGTGTGCACAAGGGTTGTTTTTTTTTTTTGTGCCCTCTAAGAGTCTGTTTCCCCAGTCCTTTGGAGGTTCTGTAATCAAATCCCACTGGCCTTCAAGTCAAATTCCCTGGGGGTTCTCAGTCCCTTTGCCAGATCCCCAGGTTGGGAAATCTGTTGTGGGCCCTGTAACTCTTGCAGCAGTGAGAGAACTTCTTTCTTGTAACTGTTCTCCGGTTTGTGGGTTGTCTGCTTGGGGGTTCTATCATGGGGTTAATGAAGACCTCCTCCAAGAGGACTTATGCCACATATTACACCTCCAAGGCCTGCTGCAGGCAGAGCCCCTGTCCCCGTGGCAGGCCACTGCTGACCAAACACTCAAAGGCAGGTCTGGCTCAGTCTCTGTGGGGACTCTGGGTCCTGGTGCGCACAAGGTTTTGTTTGAGCCCTCTGAGCATCTCTGATGGGTATGGGGTTTAATTCTAAACACTGTTTCACCCCTCCTACTGTCTTTTTGGAGCTTCTCTTTTGCCCTTGGATGTTGGATATCTTTTTTTCATGGGATCCAACATTTTCCTGTTGATGACAGTATTGATCAAGAAGATAGCGGAGAAGTACTTGTGGAAAATTCTTCATGAAATGGGGATACCAGATCACCTTACCTGTCTCCTGAGAAACTGTATGCAGGTCAAGAAGCAACAGTTAGAACTGGACATGGAACAACGGACTGGTTCCAAATAGGAAAAGGAGTACGTCAAGGCTGTATATCGTCACTCTGTTTATTTAACTTATATGCAGAGTACATCATGAGAAATGCTGGGCTGGATGAAGCATAAGCTGGAATCAAGATTGCCAGGAGAAATATCAGTAACCTAAGATATGCAAATGACACCACCCTTACGGCAGAAAGTGAAGAAGAACTAATGAGCCTCTTAATGAAAGTGAAAGAGAAGAGTGAAAAAGCTGGCTTAAAACTCAGCATTCAAAAAACTAAGATCATGGCATCCAGTCCCATCACTTCATGGCAAATAGATGGGGAAACAATGGAAACAGTGAGAGACTTTATTTTCTTGGGCTCCAAAGTCACTGCAGATAGTGACTGCAGCCATGAAATTAAAAGACACTTACTCCTTGGAAGAAAAGCTATGACCAACCTAGACAGCATATTAGAAAGCAGAGACATTACTTTGCCATCAAAGATCTGTCTAGTCAAAGCTATTGTTTATCCAGTAGTCATGTATGGATGTGAGAGTTGGACCATAAAGAAGGCTGAGCACCAAAGAATTGATGCTTTTGAACTGTGGTGTTGGAGAAGACTCTTGAGAGTTCCTTGGACAGCAAGGAGATCAAACCAGTCAATCCTAAAGGAAATGGGTCCTGAGTATTCATTGGAAAGACTAACGCTGAAGCTCCAATACTTTGGCCACCTGATGCAAAGAGCCGACTAATTAGAAAAGACCCTCATGCTGGGAAAGAGTGAAGGCAGGAGGAGAAGGGGACAACAGAGGATGAGATGGTTGGATCGCATCACTGACTCAATGGACATGAGTTTGAGCAAACTCTGGGAGATGGTGAAGGACAGGGAAGCCTGGCATGCTGCAGTCCATGGGTCTCAAAGAATTGGACATGACTGTGTGAACAGCAACAACAACAGAGATGTCTCAGAAACATCATTAACTGAAGAGTCTCCTGGTTTCAACTTATTATACTCACAGTCTTTTTTTCTTTGACCAAGCAAATTAAGATTAGTTTCTGCAGAGTTTTATTTGGCATATTGGAAATGGGATATCATGTACAAAGTTACATAAAAGAATATTTTTTTCTATTGCAAGGATACTATCACAGTGCTTTATAAAATGAGTATAAATAAGAAAACATCCTGGTCCCCAAACTCAAGCAAGACAGAACATCTTCAATTTCAGGGAATCCCTGGCAGTCTTTGTCCATATGAAGACCTGCATATTCTCATGCTCAACAATTTTGGAGCCTGTGACCTTCATGTGTGTTATAAACATTTTCTTCAGTGTTGTATACTTGTCTCCATTGTTATAATCTTAAAGGATGCATGTATAGCACAGGGAACTCTACTCAGGATTTTACAATCATCTATAAGGGAAACAAATCTGAAAAGGAATCCAAGTCTTGGTTGTGGCATGCATGATCTTTTCGTTGTAGCATGTGAGATCTAGTTCCCTGACCAGGGACTGAACCCAGGCCCTCTGCATTGGGAGCACAGATTCTAGTCATTGGACTGCCAGGGAGTTCCATATAAATATATATATGTGATGGTTTAGATGCTAAGTCATGTCCAACTCTTTGTGACCACACGGACTGTAGCCCACCAGGCTCCTCAGTCCATGGGATTCTCCAGGCAGGAGTACTGGAATGGGCTGCCATGCCCTCCTCCAGGGGATCATCCCGACCCAGGGATCAAACCTGCATCTCTCACATCTCCTGCATTGGCAGGTGGGTTCTTTACCACTAGCGCCACCTGAAAAGCCTATATATATATTCCTTAAAACCTACCTTGAGATCCAGCGTTTTCTTTTTACATTCTTCCATTCCTCTTTGGCTCTCCTTTAGTGGTGAACCACAAGAGAAACCACAAGGGGTTTGGGAAGTATGGTTTGCGGGGAGACCCATGCCGGTTCCTGCTTTACTGTGTTCCAGATACCTCTTTGGACAGATACCTGATATTCTGGATGGGTGGCCCCCAGAGATCCAGAAAATAGATGGGCAGTGGCCCGGGAGGTGTGGTGGGTCCCCTGCCTTGGTCTGCCTTCAGCCTGTAACACGTGTGATGTTTGCCCAATGTCTTCACAGGAGCCGTGAACTTCCTGCGTTCTCTCCTGGAACCAGATCCTGTGAAGAGGCCCAACATTCAGCAGGCGCTGGCGAATCGCTGGCTGAATGAGAATTACGTGGGCAAAGTGCCGTGTAACATCACCTATCCCAACAGGTACTGAGTGCATGCAGAGGGACCCTCCTCAGGCGAGCTGGGGCCTGTCTTACAAGCCCTGAATAGTTCTGGACAGGGTGTTCTCTGTGATTCAGGGGAAGGCCGCATCTTCCCCTGGCTGCCCTGCCCCTTTCTGCACCGACAGGTCTGCACGTGGGGCTCCCCTCCGTGCACCAGGAGACGTGTAGGCGGGGCCGCCCCACGTGGTTGTGCAGAGTGCACCCTCGGGGGGCACCTGCCAGAAGGTACATGGGGGGCTGAAGTCCAGGCTGCTCTCCCCTCCTCAAACCTGCTGCTGAGGGCCTGTGTCTTTCTTGAGCGGCACCTCTTTCTAGTTCACACAGAGGGACTGTTTAGATGAACTATGGCTTGAGTGAGCAAGTGAGTGTGTGTGTGTGTGTATGTGAGAGTATGCTTATGTGTGTCTGTATGTGAGTGTATGTGTTTGCATATGTGTGTGAATCTGTGTGAGTATATGTGAGTGTGTATGTGTGTCTGCTGGAGTGTCTGTAAGTGGAACTGAGTGTGTGTGTGTATGTGAGTATGCCTGGTTGGTGTGAGTGTATGTGTTTCAGTATGTGAATCTGTGTTTGAGTGTGTGAGGGTATGTGAGTATGCGTGTCTGTGAGTATATCTGTTTGTTTGTGTGTGTGTCTGAGTATGCCTGGTTGTGTGTGTATGTGTTTCAGTGTGTGTTGAGTGTGTGAGGGTATGTGAGTATGCGTGTCTGTTGGAGTGTCTGTGAGTATCTGTTTGAGTGTGTGTGTGTCTGAGTATGCCTGGTTGTGTGTGTGAGTGTATGTGTTTCAGTATGTGAATCTGTGTTGAGTGTGTGAGGGTATGTGAGTATGCGTGTCTGTGAGTGTATCTGTTTGATTGTGTGTGTGTGTGTTCCACTCAACTGCTGTCCCGCCAGCATCGGCTGAATGCAGTGGAATTGCCCCCGTCCCTTCCAAACGACCCACAGGCTCTCTTCCGCCACCTCTTTGCTCTGATGTTTGTTTCAGCCCCGAGTCCCTGCTCTGAAATGTTGGGGGCAGGAAGAAAGGTGGGAGCAGGAGTCCTTTGCTTCAGACTGTGTTTCCCTGTGCCATTTGCTCGAGGAGGTGTCCGTGAGGAAGCTTCCAGGCAGGAGCCCACAGTGTGGAAACACTGAGAGACGCCTTGTGATGGCCCACGTGTCCCCGCGTGGGGCCTCGACTGCAGACTTGTAAACAAGGCCTTCCCTGGTGGCCCAGACAGTCAAGAGTCCATCTGCAGTTCCAGAGACCCAGATTTGATCCCTAGGTTGGGAAGATCCCCGGGAGAAGGGAATGACTACCCACTCCAGAATTCCTGCCTGGAGAACCCCATGGACAGAGGAGCCTGGAGGGCGACATGGGGTGGCGAAGGGTCACACCGGAAAACACTTCCTTGTACTTTTTCCTACTTGTTTGACATCCTGCTCACTATCTGAGTTAGGGGAATAAGGGCCCTCCCCTTGGTGACTGTATTTTGTAAAAAAAATTTTTTAAGATTTTTTTTTTTTTAATGTGGACCATTATTTTTAAGTCTGTAATGAATTTGTTACAATACTGCTTCTGTTCTGTGTTTTGGGGATTTTTTTTTGGCTGAGGCATGTGGGATCCCAGCTCCTTGACCAGGGCTGGAACCTGCACCCCCTGCCAACCCTAACCCCAACCACTGGACCACCAGGGAAGCCCCCCACCCCTTGGTGACTTTAGAGCAAACGTGAAGACCCCAGGGGTCAGATACCTTCCAGGACTGAGCCCCCCTCCCCCCAGAGTCCTTCTTCCCTCAGATCTAGAGGGGGCCTGCACACTCTAGATCTGAAGTCCAGGCGACGATGCGGGAACCACTGAAGAAGGGGGACACGTAGAGCAGTGACGGGGCAGGGAAGGGAGCGACCTCCGTCACTGTGTTTTCAGAACACCCGGGAGGGTCTGGAGACATACCCCGAGCCTTATGAAAGCTGCAGCACCAACTTCTCCAAATAAGATGGGCAGGCAGAGCTCCGTCTTGGGGAGGAGGTTCTGAGGAACTTCAGAGGGGGTGGGTGGACGGCACTGGGACCTGCATCCTGGCTCCTGGGCCCCATTTACACTCGCCTTGGCCAGAGAGGGCTGCCATCCAGAATTCTAGCCTTTGACTCATGAGAGGTAATTTAAACAGAGTCTAGGTGACTTGGGTTACCAAGGGAACCTGGAAATAGACTGCTGGTTTCCAGTGCTGGCTCAACATGGGCTATTAGCCTGAAATAGACACCAGAAATATTAGCCCGACGTGTGATGGAAAGCAAAGCCAAGCGGCCAAGCCTCATCACCAGGCTCACGCTGCCTGGCAGTACACAGCTATGCTCTCCGTAAGGGAGGAGGCACCGGTGGCAGACAGATGAGTCATCAACCTAATGTAATCACCGTCTAAATGAGCAGAACCAACCTCTCAGTGCAGCAGGTGCTGAAGGGCGTGAAGCAGCTACTAGAAATACAGCCCTCCCTCCTTGCTGGTTGCATCTTCATTCACAGAGATTCATGCCCGGCTCATTTTGTCGCTTCTCCGCGGGTTATAAACAGCCTTTTGTAGATGAAATCTTAAATTCTAGTTACCTGTACTGGCTCTGCCAGTTTGGTCATTTCTGCATTTGGACTTGGTCAGAGGCATGAAGGCTGTTCAAGATCTAGTTGCAGAGACTGTAAAAATGATTGAGAGCTTGCATGTGAAGGAAAGCAGCAGCTCAATGCCTTCTCTTTAGGTAAGGCTCATTACTCATTTAATGAGGCAAATAAATGTCCAATTTTTCGAGGGAAACCAATGTCCAATTTTTACAGTAATGAAACCAGAAAGCTAAACTATTAGGAAAGACACGTGTTCCTTAGTCTTTATTTTGAAAAAGAATGCCAAAAGAAAAAAAAATGTGCCCTTGATAATTATTTTTCTGATTTTACCAGGACACAGATAAGCAGAATAAGAACATGCGACTGGAGAAAGGAATATTTTCTTTTTGAAGTCTATTTGATAGTTTCTCAACATATGTAGTCCCAGATTTAATTATTTTAGATATTGTCAGTGTTTACTGTTGGGACAGAGAGAAAATAAAGGTCTCATGTTTTCTATCACTGTTCTGTAAAGCCTTCTGTTAATTCATTCAAGCCTCTGAGTTGACCTGCAAGAGGCAAGAAGAAAATATCTTTAAAAGGAAACTTTCTATAATAAGTTTATAATAAGTTCATGCCAGTCATTTACAGATGTCTGCTGTGTGCCAGGCTCACCTCACTGTTCTGGCAGCAGACATTTTTCTCTAGAGCAGACCTTGGCTGCCTCTCCCCTCACCCTGCCTGGGACCGTGTCCCACACCGCAGGTTAGCCCTGGAGATGGGTGGGAGGGAAAGCAGGTCACTGGTAACAAAGGACAGAACTAGACCAGACTGGAATGAAATTAATTTAATGCATATTGACTCAAAATTATGCCTCATAGTCTAGAACACTTTTAAAATATTGTTTATATCATTGAAACTTGGAGAGGTAATACAAATTCAGCAACACATACAAGAGAGCACTCAGCATGGTTGGTGGTAGTTTAGTCGCTAAGTGGCGCCTGACTCTTTGTGACCCCATGGACGATAGCCTGCCAGGCTCCTCCTTCCATGGGAGTCTTCAGACACTCAATATATACACTGCTCATTGAAAACGTTCAAAATAGTGCCGTTAGTCAAGAGCCAGTCCACAGTCTCCGTTTGGCAGAGCTCGCCTGTTTTTGAAGACAGTGGGTATGAAGGGCAGAGACTGCTCACTTTTCTTCTCTCTCCTCTGCCTCCAGCCCCACCGCGGTGGCATCTCACACCCGCAGCACACTCCCTTCCAGGGCCTGCTCCTGGTACGGGGTGAAGCCATCCAAAGGGCAGCCATGGGATGATTGGCTGGGGTGGAGTCACAAAAATCGTGATCTGATTGGCTGAGGGAGTGGCCATGAGGCTGTGGTCTGATTGGCCAACATAAAAGGACCGTGATCTCATTGGCCAGGAGTGGGGTCAAGTGGGCGTGGTTTCATTGTTCAAGGGCAGGGCCAGAGGCCCATGGACGTTACCAGGTAGTTTCCAACAGTTGTGTTTTCTGTGTTAAGTGCTTTGGCAACCTTCAAGTAATCGTATCCTTTTAAAACAGGTGTTATTATTTTTTAACCACTAATCATAGCAAGCCTACTCCAAACTTTCTAAAATTTGTGATTTTTGTAGCCAACAGGAGTGAGGAAGGCAGATTTCGTGGTTCCCATGCACCTTTTCTTTGGGTCGCACTTAGCCAGACCTCGGAGAGGGAGGGCTGACCTAGTTACAGTGGCCAGCAGACCCAGGTCTGCCCTTGCTGCCCCTGTGAGCGTGGCAAGTCGGTCTCTTCTGCACCACTATGGGGTTGTACCCTGTGGTTTTTCCTAGTGTTATTGTTCTGAGGTTCCACCAAAAATGTCTTCAGACTCTTTGGCGGGGCTGCAGAGCTTTCTAGCCAAATGTGCTTGCTTTCTGCTCACAGAGTATTGTCCTTGCCTCTTCAGGAATGTAGGTAGTTCTATCTGATGACCCACCTCCAGGACCAACACATGTATTCCCTATGCCCGTCTCCTGCTTTCGTGTTCTACATAGCTGCTGCTTCTTGCCAGTGTGTCCCTGGGCAAGTTACTTTCCTGCTGTGGGCCTCAGTTTCTTCATCTGTTAAATGGGGATAGTAATGGTTTGTTGTTGTTTAGTTGTTAAGTCATGACCAACTCTTTTGTCACCCCATGAACTGTTGTAACCTGCCAGGCTCCTCTGTCCATGGGATTTTCCAGGCAAGGATACTGGAGTGGGTTGTCATTTCCTTCTCTGGGAGATCTCCCCAGCCCAAGGACTGAACCCACATCTCCTGCATTGGCAGGTGGTTTCTTTACCATTGAGCCACCAGGCAAGCTCTGGTACCCTTTGTGAGACTGTTGTGAAGAATAAATGGATTTATTTTCTCTCTTCCCCATTGCCATGTAAACTCCATGAAGCAGGGACTTGAATGAGTGAATAAGTAGATAAATACAAACCTGGCATTCATTTTGGGGGCATTTTATCCCAAGGGAGTTTATCTTCATACCACTCTTGTGTAGAAGCTTTAACCTGTCCTCTGAGAGCATCCAGCTTCACAGCTGCGTCCCAAATCCCCTCTTTGTGAAGTTGTGAGCTCACACTGTTCCTTTAAACATGGTCTGGGCTGGCTCCTGAATACCCTTCTTTCCCAACCCAACATCCACCCAAGTTACCTGGGCTCTACCCATGTTCAATAAAGACATTTTAAGGGAAAAAAATGTCAGATTGTAAAGAAATTTGGGATGAATAGGGAAATTGGAATATAGTCTAGGTATCAGAGAATATTAAGAGATTTCTAAAATTTGGGGGATGTTTTGAAGGTGTTATGATCCTGCAGGAGATGTCATTGGTTTTTAAAGATGCATTCTGGTGTTTAGGAAAAAAATTGTTTGTGATTTGAAATACTTTAGTAAAGGAAGAAAGAGAGAAGCTAAGAGAAGAAGGAAGGAAGGAAGGACAGGAGAAAGAAAAATAAAAAAGAAAGGGAGAAAGAAAGAAAGGCAAACTGCTAACAATTAGTTCAACCAGGTATTGGGCACACCCAGATGGCACTAATATACCCAGATGGCACTCATGGTAAAGAATCGCCTGCCAATGCAGGAGACGCAAGGATTCAATCCCTGGGTTGGAAAGATCCCCTGGAGGAGATCATGGCAACCCACTCCGGTATTTTTTGCCTTGGAGAGTCCCATGGACAGAGGAGCCTGGCGGGCTACAGTCCACGGGTTCACATAGTCAGCCACAATTGAAGCAACTCGGCACACACACCTAGGGTAATTACGCTACTCCCTGTCATGTTTTGTGTATGTTAACGGCTCATAATAAGAAGTCAATGGATGAATGAGGGGACTGGCTGTCCACTAGGGAGCCCTTGTGTGTCTGTGGGTGGGAGGGGGCTTCTGTGCTGCCGTGCTCGTGAGCATCACTAAGGGGGCCCCGGAGCCTCGCGGTGACTGGTTGTCTGTCCATCTGTCGAGCAGGATCTCCCTGGAAGACCTGAGCCCCAGCGTGGTGCTGCACATGACCGAAAAGCTGGGCTACAAGAACAGCGATGTGATCAACACCGTGCTCTCTAACCGCGCCTGCCACATCCTCGCCATCTACTTCCTCTTAAACAAGAAGCTCGAGCGCTACTTGTCAGGGGTGAGTGGGGCCCCGCGCTGGCTTTCTCGGCTCTCTATGGAAAAAAAGAGAGCTCTGATGCCCGAAGTGTTTCCAGTGGCTGACACTTGATCTGAGCTGCTAATTGAAACTCATGTGAGGTTGAGTTTCCTGAACGTGGGATAAAAGAGCGAAACCTGCTTCTCGGGGAGTGCTTTTTATCTGAGGTGTTTTTAAAATATTCTCCCACAGAGCCAAGCTCTGGGCCGACTTGCGAGAGACCCAAGCTTCTTTTCCCTTCAGCTTCCTGTTGCCTTGTTCCTTGGGGTCCCCACTTAGGGTCACTGGGGCTTGCGTGGTCATGAAAACTGGGGAGCAGAGCCCCTCAAGCACTCACCTCTAAAGCAGGGCAGATGAAAGGCCACTCTTGACTTTGGCTTCTCTAGAAAGCAAGAGTGACAGTGACCTTGGCCTCTTCACGTGTCAGTCTGGGCACCAGGTGCCCTGTGTCCCAGGTGAGGGAGGTGCAGCTGGGAGTCTGGGCTGAACCGTGCATGGCACCCTCATGCTTGGGTCAGCTGTGTCCTTCTGCTGCATGCAGTTCACAAGTGCCCAGGTGAGGGAGTCCACACGCTTCCGTATCTGTGTGTGTGTGCTTAGTCGCTCAGTCGTGCCCGGCTCTTGCGACCACATGGACTGTAGCCCGCCAGGCTCCCTCTGTCCCTGGGATTCTCCAGGCAAGCATACTGGAATGCCATTTCCTGCTCCAGGGGATCTTTCCAACCCAGGAATCGAACCCGGGTCTCCTGCATGGCAGGCAGACTCTTTACAGACTGAGCTGCGAGGGTTTTGATTAAATTGGGCTGTGCGTGCTAAGTTGCTTCAGTTGTGTCGGGTTCTTTGCATCCCATGGACTGTATAGCCTGCCAGGTTCCCCTGTGTATGGAAATTTCCAGGCAAGAATGCTGGAGTGCATTGCTGTTTCCTACTCAAGGGAATCTTCCCGACTCAGGGATTGAACCCAGGTCTCTTAGGTCTCCTGCATTGGCAGGCAGCTTCTTTACCAGCTGGGAAGCCCTTCACAAATCAACTCTTTCCAAATGAACAATGGCTGAAAAAGAATTCTGCAAAGAAAGCTAGACCAGAGGCAGTGGGGATTCTGCATATCTTTGCTGCTGTTTCTCCTACTCAGAATGATGAGGGCTGACCAAATCTAACAAGGAGTCAGGCAGAGAAATTTGCAATCATTGGGAAGTCCATCTGAAGTCTGATTTCATACCCACTCTCCTGAAGCACTGCTGTGTATGTGTGCCTTGAGATCTGATTGTGTGAGGTCAACTCTGTTAGGAAGACATTCAGAATCCAGAACATGAAGACGAAATTCTGGAGTTTTTCAGTGCTTCTTAAAGTCATGTGATACGGGAGATTGGGACTGACTTCCCTGGTGGCTCAGATGATAAAGAATCTGCCTTCAGTGCAGGAGACCTGGTTTCGATCCCTGTGTCGAGAAGATCCCCTGGAAGAAGGAAAGTGCAACCCACTCCAGTATTCTTGTCTGGAGAATCCCACGGACAGAGGAGCTGGAGGGCTGCAGTCACTGGAGTCACAGAGTCATACATGGCTGAGCGACTGAGCACACACACTGTGTATAAAATAGATGACTAATGAGATATAGCGCAGGGAACTCTACACAATGCTCTGTGGTGACCTAGATGGGACGGAAATCCAAAAACAGAGGGGATATATGTGTACGTATGGCTGATTCACTTTGCTCCACAGCAGAAACTAATGGAACATTGAAAAGCAACTATATTCTGATTAAAAATTTAAAAAATACATAAAGTTATGTGATAGCCCAATTAGAGCTAAAGATGAAAATTCGGACAGTCGGGGAAATGATATTCTCCCTGGTGAGGTAGAAATGACCAAAACCATGCCCAGAAGATGAGATGGTTAGAATGTGTCTCTTATTAGCAAATAGATTTGGAAGCCGTCTAGAAAACATTGCTAAATAGATCAAGAAGCTTGACGGGAGGTTTGTTAAACGATGCAATGGAAGAATAGATGTTTCTCAGCTGATTCAGCTTAGGGTATTTCCTAGACTTGGCTGCAATGTGAAATTATCCACAGAAGAACTTTTGTGTGTGTCTGAGCCACCAAAGGAAACATTTGGGCTTCCGTGGTGGCTTAGATGTAAAGAATCCACCTGCAGTGCAGGACACCCAGGTTCGATCCCTGGGTTGGGAAGGTCGCCTGGAGAAGGGAATGGCTCCCACCTCCAGTGTTCTCGCCTAGAGAATTCCATGGACAGAGGAACTTGGGGGGTTACAGTCCATGGGGTTGCACAGAATCAGACATGACTGAGCGACTAACACTTTCACTTTCAAAGGAAAGAGGTACATGAGAAGAAACATTATAGTAAAAGGCTGTTAAAAATGAGAGCGGTGTTGTATGAGGGAGAAAAAAAAAAACTTGCTCTAGAAGCAGTGATGGAATGAAACTTTGGAAGGGAACAGACATGCAGCTGGCTTTCAGAGACAATACCACGGTCGCCGGAAAGCTGCCACAGGAGAGAGGTGGAAGTCAGAAAGCCCGGACCTTTGACCCATGATGCATTATTTATATCATTTTACTATGCGATAGGATTAAGAAATTCTCTCGCACCAGAGAACAGAGGTCCTCTGTTCACCTATGACGATGAACTCAAAAGACATGTTAGACATGAAGCCATTTCTCATTTTCCTCTTGTTCTATAAAAGAGGTTGTTTCGTTTATGTTGGCTGCTCTGAGTCTCCGTCGCTGTGCGTGGGCTCCTCTCTCGTTTCGGTGCTTGGTCTTCCCTGCGGTGTCTTCTCTTGCTGTGGAGCACGGGCGCTAGGCACGCAGCCTTCAGCAGTTGCAGCGTGTGGGCTCAGGCGTTCGGATGCATGGGCTTAGTTGCCCTGTGGCCTGTGGGATCCTCCCAGACGGGAAGTTGAACCGGTGCTTCTGCGTTGCAAAGTGGATCCTTAACCTGGACCCCCAGCGAAGTCCTCGTGGTTTTGTGAGAAAACCGTATGCCCCATATATTCCTTATCCTTTTAAATCCCCATTTTATTGCATATTTTATAATGTACATGATATATTAGTGCAGTACATGCTTATAGTTTATAAAATAAATATGCACATATTGTCAATGCCTGCTGACTTTTTCACTCATGTGGGCTCAAGGTCACACCATTTAGAGACCACCGTGCTAGAGACAAGCGGTTCTCACGTAAAAGGGACAGAGGAGGGCCACACACTGGTGTTCTTTTTGAAATGATGAATGCCGCTGAAAAATGAGTTTTAAAAAGTGTTTCCAGGAAACTGCCTATAAAGTTCGTGATTCCGCATGTTTAAAGGATGACACTGCTACTTTCCTAAGTAAGCAAGCAGGTTCAAACATCCTTCTTTCGGCAGAATCAGTTCTCTGAATATGATCAATGAGATAGAGGGGCTTTTGTTTTAAAAAAGAGTTTCTTTTGTCTACCTCTGTAGAGCCCCCAGCTTCGGTTACTCACACTCTTAAACAATCACGGGGCTCATCCCAAGTAAGAGACGTTTGTGTGAAGCTCTTAGGCTGTGTCCTGCCTTCTCCGGGTGTCTTGCCATCTGCAGTGATCACTCCGCATCAGAGCTGCAAATGTTGCAGTGTGGCCAAGCTTTGTGGTTTTGTCTACTGAGAAGCTGGAGTAGGAAATGGCAAGCCACTGCGGTGGTCTTGCTTGGGAAATCCCATGGACAGAGGAGCCTGGAGGGCTACAGTCCATGGAGGCGCAAAGAGTGGACGTGACTGAGCAACTGAGTGCACACACACACTACTGCGAAGTTCCTGGTGGAAACTAACATAGTTCTAACAGGACATGGTTCTTGTTTTGTTGTCTGTTTCACGCTGAACCCTTAAATCACAGGACATAGCTGGTCTGAGAACCAGTGCCTCGGTGGGTGACTGCTTTAAACAGTGAGTTCTTCCCCGTAAGTAGCTATAGCTATTCCACTCAATAATTTCTGTGCAAGGCTAATTTAACTGCACCCGAGGCACTGTCCCAGTTATTAATATCATTAACCAATTACTAACAGCCATATATAATTTTGAAAGGGCAACTAGTGAACTAAAAAATTATACCTTAATTGCCATTTCTCCCCTTCTCCCTTGATTCTTGTTTCCTCTTTCTAAAACCTAGATGCATGGATTTTAATTTGGAGAGCCTGCAGAGGCCTTCTGGGGATATTTGTTGACTGATGCATTAATTAGTCATTTAATTTCAGCTGTCGCCAGCGAGGACTGCACCTTAGTCGTACCCCTAGACCATCTGAGGTGTGGTTATGTGTCTTCTTCTTTAAGCTGTATTGTGGACTGCTGTGACTTTTATTGGGGCGGAGGGGCAGGAACCAGGGCTGTGTTTTTATAACTGAAGTCTGGTTGATACATAGTGTTCTGTTAGTTTCATGTGCATAGCAAACTGGTCCAGTTATATACATGTATTCTTTTTCAGATTAGTTTCCATTATAGGTTTTTATAAGACATCAAATATAGCTAGTTCCCTGTGCTATATAGTAGGTCCTGGTTATTTATGCATTTCAGGCCTGTTTTCATTTTATAAGTTAATTTGTTTTTGGTTCCACTGGGTCTGTGTCACTGCAACAAGCTTTGCTCTAGCTGCGGTGAGTGGGAGCTACTCTCCAGTTCCGGTGTCCAGCCTTCTCATCGCGGTGGTTCTCTTGTTGCAGAGGACGGGCTCTAGAGCAGAGCTTTAGTAGTTGTGGTTGCAGGGGTTTAGTTGCTCCACTGCTTGTGAGATCTTCCTGGACCAGGGATTGAACCCACATCCCTTGCATTGGCGGGTGGATTCTTATCCACTGCACCACTAGGGAAGTTCTTAGGCCTGTTTTTAAATCAGCAAGACCTGTATCCCATTCAGTAGTTCCATAAAATAAGTTGTCCCCCGCCAGCTCACATATTTGGTCTCTGAGCTCATGTCTTAGCGTGGTCTTCATCGCACAGGTGAAAGAAGGGAGGTGCAGCAGGAGCAGTGATGTGCCCGGGGCCACCAAGCCCTTTCCCGCAGAGCCAGGAGTCCGGGTCCTGCCTCCCCCACGCTCCTGTGGGCTGTGCTGGAGGGGTCTGCCAACCGCATTCTGGCGTTTCTCAGCAAGTGCTGGTTTAAAAATTAATGACTGCTTGATAGACATTCCCTATTTTCCGAGAGTTAAGCCCGGCTTTTTTTCTTTTCTTCTCCGGTAGAAATCTGACTTCCAGGACAGCGTCTGCTACAAGACCCAGCTCTACCAGATAGACAGGTGCAGGCCCACCAAGGAGCCGTATGAGGTGAGTGGCTCCCCAGAGCAAAACCCAGGACCTCTTAGGAAGAGTGGATTTCCTTTATGGGAAAAGGACTGGAAAGGAAGCCAGTTGTTGTGGGACACGGAAGTAGCCAAAGACAAATACTTACTCGCTTTACCGAGCCCTTAAGAAATGGCTTCCCTGGTAGCTCAGATGGTAAAGAACCTGCCTGCAATGCTGGAGACCCGGGTTCAGTCCCTGGGTGGGGAAGATTCCCTGGAGAAGGGAATGGCCACCCACTCCAGTGTTCTTGCCTGGAGAATACCACGGACAGGGGAGCCTGGTGGGTTGCAGTCCATGGGGTCAAAAAGAGTTGGACACAACCGAAGCGACTCATGCTTTCACTTTGTAAGAAATGGCTTACAGCGGGGCCACCATTGTCCAGTCTCCAGACTGTGGTTCTTAGCTGTGGGCATATAGTAGAATCCCCAGGGGCATTTTAACTTGTGAATGCCTGGGCCACACCTCAGACCGATTCCATTGAAACTCAGGGGGCAGGACTGCGGGGCGGGGGCGGGGGGGGGGTGGTGATGTTTCCTTTTTTTGCTGTACCATGCAGCATGTGAGGGATCTTAGTTCCCTGACCAGGAATTGAACCCATGCTCCCTGCAGTGGAAGCATGGAGTCCCAACCACTGGATTGCAAGAGAAGTCCCAGATCTGGGGGGTCAATATTTTTTAAAGCTCACTGGATGATTCCCAATGGAGTCATGGCTGGAATCCACTGTCAGATTGCCAAAAGATAAAAACAAGATGCTGAAAGACATGTGTATGTAACACTTGGCATCAGAAGAAAGTAAGGAAGGTGAGGATCGGGAAGAAGGATCAGGAGTGAATCTTTCCAGTCCACTGTCCCTGGTGACCTGATGCTACCTAGGACGTACCTGAGAGAAAATACCAAGATTCTTTGATTTCAGAGTAAAGACTAGTATCGTATGATTCAAAATTTGGACCCCAAATCCATGCTTGTTAAGAGATCGTGCTAGGATCTCCAGATCCAGGGCCTGGTGCACAGGGTGAGGGTCCCCCCCGGGACCCCTCATTCACTGCTCTGTCCGGTGAGGGTTCCTGGCCTGCTCAGGGGTTCGCCATAGAATGTGGAGCCCGCTGGGCTGTGCTTCATTGTGGCAGCAGAAAGCAAGTGGGATGTGGCCCAGACCACTGCGGTGATACAGGTGACAGGGGAGCTGAGCTGCCGTGTGAGAATGCAGCTGCCCCGAGCATCGAGGTGGGGTTGGGGTAGGCAGCTGGGTTGGGAGGGGGAGGCTGATCACTCTAGACAGAGCCTGGAAAATGACACGATTCAAGCAGGCGGAGAAGAGGAGATGCTGATGACAGGAACGAGCAGAGATCCTGGGGCAGCCGGAGACCCAGGGGGGAAGGATGTTGGGGAGGACGTGGGAAAGGTCAAGTATAAAATGGCCCATGGTGATGGCTGAGCAGCTGCTTGTCATGGAGGAAGTGGAAGGGCAGAGAAGAGATTGCATGGACTGGGGGGAGTGAAGACTGTGAGCAGAGATCTCTCCATGTATGATGCTGGCGATGAATAGGAGGACATGACCGCCTCTGCTTGAAGGATGCACGGGGGTGGGAAGGAGTCAGGGTGGGGGGACAGAGGAAGGAACCGCAGCAGAAGGTGTGGATGGGCGGGCATTCAGAGCAAGCCAGGTGGGACCTAGCCCTGACCCCAGACTGGAGGCCCCCTTCCTCTGAGACTGTGAGGCACCAGCGTGGTGAGGGTGGAGATGAGCCTTTGGTGGGGTGGATTGTGTGGGTTGGTTCTGGGCAGGAAGCACATGCATGGCTTTTGGGTTGCGAGCGGAAGATCAGAGACGGTGAAGGGCCAGACACCCCCAGCTCCAGACCCCTCCAGCCAATTGCTTGCCAGATCTTCTCTTGCCTGAGTGCAGGTCTCCAGCGTAGCACACAGGAGCCAACCCGCAGCAGCCCTCCTGCCCTGCCCCTGTTCTCTCTCTCCAAAAGGCAGCCTCGCCTTCAGACAGGGAGGGTCCTTTGTATTCCTTTCCCTCACCCCCGGGAGCTTCCCCGGTGGCTCAGTGGTGAAGAATCGGCCTGAAATGCAGGAGACACAGGTTTGATCCCCGTGTCGAGAAAAATCCCTTGGAGAAGGAAATGGCCACCCATTCCAATATTCTTGCCTAAAAAAAAAAAAAATCCATGGACAGAAGAGCCTGGTGGGCCACAGTTCATGGGGAAACGACCGAGTGACCAAGCATGCACACGGCACGCTCACCCCTGAGAGCCAATCTGTCACCAAGTTCTGCCAGCTTGACTCCTGAAGCTCCCCAGCCCCATCCTCCCACCCTGGTTCATCACCTCTTGCGTGGACCTCAGCCGCAGCCTCCTAACTATCCCCTCTTTGTCCCCATGACTGCAGTCATGAATACAGGCTGTCCGCACACAGGCCAGGGTGAGCTATTCACACTCAAATGAGACCATATCGCTTCCCCGATCGAAACCGTCAAAGGCTTCCTTACCGTGGAAGACAAACTGTGACGTGGCCGCCGTGTCCCAGATTGGACTGGCTTCTGCCAGCAACTCAGACCTTATCTTCTAGCTACCCCTACCCCACCCCCATCACCCTACTTCTTGCCTTTTTTTTTTTTTAATTTTCATCTGGTCACTCCCTGAGGCACGTGAGATCTTAGTTCCCTGACCAGGGATGGAACCTGTGCCCCCCCTGCATTGAAAGTGCAGAGCCTTAACCACTGGACCACCAGGGACATCCCCTGCTGCTTGCTTCGTGCTCAGTCCCATGGGCCTTCAGACTTCTGTGCTCTCTTGTCTTCCAGGGCTGTACACACCCTGCTGTCTTCCAGAATGTTCTCCTGAGCTTTCTCTGCTGAGTCAGTCTCTGTCTGTCTTCAGATGTGGCGGCAGGGTCGTGTCCTCATGGACCCCTGCTGTTTTCTGACCTGTACCTTCAGGTTGCAACTCTCCAGTGCAGGCTGTCACACACCTCCTGCCTCCTGGGGCTGATCCCCTGGATGAGGTTCTGTTTGTTCTGGGATGATTTGATTCTCATCTCTCCCCCACTCTGGTCTGTGAATTCCTTAAGAGGAGGGATGGAGTCCCTGTTAATTATTTATTTGACAGCTCTTGGTCTTAGTTGTGGTGCTCGGGCTTGCCCCGCAGCACGTGGGATCTTAGTTCCCCAACTAGGGATCAGACCCAAGTTCCCCTGCATTGGGCTCTTAACCACCGGACCATCAGGAGGGTCCCTGGGACAGCGTCCCTTTTGTTCCTCACAGTGTCTCTAGAGCCTGCATGCTCCCTGTAGAGACTTAATAAATATTTGCTGGAGGAAGAAGTGCAATAATCAAGTGGACCTTGGCCTGAGTCTCAGAAAATGGAATTGGGTCAGCGTCTTGGGAAGGTTGAACATTCCAGCTGGGACACCTAGCTTGGATAAAGCAGCGGGACCACCTGCATGGCAGCATTCAAGTCAAGTTACCATCACTTGATGGCCATGCCCTGTAGGAGGGACCCCTTACAGTCACTTGCACTGAGGGTGGTCACCCCGGCTGGGGTCCAGGGGATACAGAAGTCACCGTTAGGCTCCCCTGCCTCTTGGTTTGACTCTTTAGGGCCTCAGGTAATAATGCAAACTTAGATGTGCCACATCCCGTAAGTGTGTATCCTACGCGGCCTCTAAGCCACTTGGCCGATGCCCACGTCCTTGTTCACCCTGGTACCCAGCACTGCTTGAGTGCTCCAAAGTGTCAGGGCCACGATGGGAAGGGGCCTCTTTTTTTTTTTCATCTACATTATTTTTCTCAGCTGCTTATTGCATTTGGCCCGAAAACACATGGTAAGCATTTTAAAACATTTGTTGCAATATTTAATGGTTAGAGTTTCAATAGAAACGCTAATGGGGAAACAGCATTTCAATTTTCTAGTTTCCATTTGTTTTCTCCAAACCGCAGCAATACTTGAGCTAATTAAATTACAGGCTCTGGCTAGATGACCCAGCTTCTCTCCCTTGGAACCTAGCAAAGTGGAATGGGGCCAGCTAGAAAAAGTGGTGAGAAAGACTGAAAGAGGCCAGATTCTCCAGGGAGAGCCCACTCCGGCCTCTGTGGGTTTCAGCCCAGCTGGTCCAGGAGGAGAAGCAGAGGGGATGGGTGGTGTGCAGTGGAGTGGAGTTCAAGGTTGTACACCAGCGGGCTGGGGGGCGGCTCTGGAGCCGTGTCTGGGCATTGAGGGCAAATGTTGGCCTCTTTCTTCTTCTGGATCCCAGTTCTTTTTCTCCAAGGAGACAGAGGAGCTGAATTAAGCAGAAAGCACTCCCCTCTCAGGATTCTAGTGCTATTGCGGTATGACTTTGCCACTTTCTCCCCGTCTTCGTACTGTAGCAGGCAGAGACCACGTCTGCAAAAGGAAGACCCTTGTCTCACCTTGGGCTAAGGCCCCAGGGACTCCTTTTCCTAAAAGAGAGGTCCAGAGGGGTGGGGGGCAGGACGCCATGGAGGGTTGTGGCAGGGAAGTCATCACTAGTAAACTGGCTCAGTGAAGCCACAGAGAACTGGAAGCCAGTGTTGTCCAAGTCTTGAAAAATAATGCTGATATGTAGCAAAATGTCACTTAGAAATACAAGGACTTTCTGCGGTATCCAAGTAACACTGCAGCTTTGGAAGTTAAATCACGCAGACGGTGGCGAAGGAACTGTATGAGTCTGTGAGGGCTCCCATCACAAAGTTCCTTAAACCAGGGGTCCCCCTCATCTGGAATCTAATGCCTGATGATCTGAGGTGGGGCTGATGTAATCATAATAGAAATGAAGTGAGCAATAGAGGTGATGCACTTGAATCATCCCCAAACCATCTCCCACCCCGGTCTCTGGAAAAATGGCCTTCCACGAAACCAGCTCCTGGTGCCCCGGGGGACCACTGGCTTAAACAAAAGAAATGTGTCGTCTCCTGGTTTGGGAGTCCAGAAGGTCAAGGTCATGGTGTCTGCAGGACTGATTCCCTCTGAGGATGGTGAGGGAGAATCTTTCATGCCTCCTAGCTTCTGGTGGGCGCCAGCAGTCTTCAGTATTCATGGGCTTGTAGGAGCATCACCCTGATCTCTGCCTTCATCTTCATGTCGCAGTCTGCATGTGTGTCTATGACCAGTTATCCCCTTTCTATAAGGATTCCGGTCACACTGCACTAGAACCCACTCTGATGACCTTATCTTAACTTGATCACCTCTGAAAAGGTAAGACCAAGAAGAGGTTCCATCTCAAAGGCCAAGGAGAGCGAGCTTTCGTACTCCCCCTGTACCTCCTGCCAGGCTCCAGAGGGGATGGGACGGGTCTGACCTGACCCTGTCTTCAGGTAAAGCTGCATTCTGAGGTCTAGGGGTTAGGACTCCAACATTCAAATTTGGAGGAATGTGATGAAATGCGGGCTTCCCAGGTGGTAAAGAACCCACTTGCCCAGCAGGAAATGCAGAAGACGTGGGTTCGATCCCTGGGTTGGGAAGATCCCCTGGTGGAAGAAATGGCAACCTACTCCAGTATTCTTGCCTGGGAAATTCCATAAACAGAGGAGCCTGGCAGGCTGCAGTCTGTGGGATTGCAAAGAGTTGGACATGACTGAGCAACTAAACCACCACCGCCATCATAATTAAATGCATAATAGGAACTATAAGTTTAAAGGTAAAATATTACAGTATTTTCTTTGTGTCATTTCCAAATCTGTACAAATTAAAAAAAAATTTTTTTAATTTATGTTACTTTTGGCTTCAGTGGGTTTTGGGTGTGCCCAGGCTTTCTCTAGTTGGGATGAGCAGGGGCTTCTCGTCATTTGGTGTGTGGGCTTCTCACTGCCGTGGCTTTTCTAGCTGTGGAGCACAGGCTCTAGTTGTTACGGTTCGCAGGCCTGAGATCTCTCAGACTTCAGTAGTTGTGGCCCATGGGTTCCGTCGCTCCGAGCCATGTGGAATCTTTCCAGATCAGGGATTGAACCCATGTCTTCTGCGTTGGCAGGCAGATTCTTATCCACTGGACCACCAGGGAAGTCCTGCACAAATTTTAACAATCAAGTTTGGGATCAAGTCTCTGCTGTGGCAAATCTGAATGGTGGTTACCTTCAGGGATGGGAAGAGAATGTGGCAACGAGGGACTTCTAGGTGTTGGCTGGGTTCTGTTTCTTGATCTGGGCACCGTTTTCATGTGTGCTTTTGTTGACTGAGAAAACCAAGTGAACGCTTTACTCATCATCAGAGCACCCCTCCGTCATGTGTCCTAGACTTTAGTATAAACCTTACCTAGAAAATCTCTCCAGGGCAGGAATTAGGACGTCTGCCACCTCCTTCCGGGACAGTTTGGTTTCTTGTCTGCAAACACTGAAATGGGTAATCCTCAACCAGAGCTGCAAGTGGGAAGAGTTTAGGGAATAAACTGCAAGTGCAGCTTCTTGAATTGTTGAAAAATGCTGTTTTGTTTTGGTTTTTTTTTGCAGGCCTCCCTGGACACCTGGACAAGAGACCTTGAATTTCATGCTGTGCAGGTAAGAAACTGGGGGTTCTGATGGATTAGACAGAGTCCTCCAGAAAAACGGAATCGACAGTGTGTGTGTGTGTGTGTGTGTGTGTGTGTGAGATGCGTGGACACCCAGGGAAGGGTTGATGTTTCAGCTCCAGTCACAAGGCTTCTGGAGGCAGAATTCCTTCTTTCTCAGGACACTTCAGTGTTCTCTCTCTTTTTAAAAAAATTAAATTTATTTTTAATAGAAGGATATTTGCTTTATACTATTGTGTCGGTTTCCGCCAAACATCACCATGAAGTCTTCTCTTAAGCCCTTCAACTGGATTGCCCAAGACCCACCCAGACTGTGGAGGATAAGCTGCTTTACTCAAAAGCCTACCGATTTAAATGTCCTTCTCATCTAACACAAGCCTTCACCACAAACTGTAGACTGCTGTTTGACCGGACACTGGGTGCCCTGGTCTAGGCAACTTGACACTTGAAAGTCTCCATTGCCTGTGACCCTGAAGATTAGTGAATCCCTGCCTGGGGCTCCGGACTCTGCACACCCCTCATCCTGTCCTGAATTCAGACATGCAGAACCCTGTTGTAAGTGGATTTGTCAGAATCCCCTCAGATCAGATCAGCTTTCTCTGTGTGTGTGCTAAGTCACTCAGTCGTGTCCAGTGCTTTGACCCTATGAACTGTAGCCCGCCAGGCTTCTCTGTTCGTGGGATTCTCCAGGTACTGGAGTGGGTTGCCATGCCCTCTTCCAGGGAATCTTCTCAACCCAGGGATCAAACCCATGTATGTCTCCTGCATTGGCAGGCATGTTCTTTATCACTAGAGCCATCTGTATGGTTGACTTTTTAAAAATTCATCTTGCTATAACAACAAACTTGGCTGTGCATCTGTGTTTCTACCTATAAAGAAGTGGGGTTTAGAACAGTCCACGGCTTCCCAGTTCCTGGACCTTTTTATTCTCAATGCATTTGTTTGTTTCTTATGGCAGAATCAGGCCTCTGTGGCTTTCCCTTACATTATGGGCCTGGGCTTGTGCTCAGTTGCTAAGGCGTGTCTGACTCTTTGCAACCCCTTTGTCTGTGGGGATTCTCCAGGCGAGAATACTGGAGTGGGTTGCCACATCCTCCTCCAGGTTAGGATCTTCCTGACGCAGGAATCGAACCTGCATCTCCTACGTCCCCTGCATTGGCAAGCAGATTCTTTACTACTGGACCACCAGGGAAGTCCAGGTCTGCACATTCAGGGCATCCAGTTTTTTTGAAAAATGTCCACGCACAGGTGTGGTGGTTGGAAAATGGTTTAAAGAGAAGAGGCTGTTTTGTGTGGGGTTTGCTAGCATCTGGGGCCTCTGGTTTCCTCTTGGATCTGCCTTGGAGGGTATGGCCTGAAGCATGAGGGGGCAGAGAAGACCCTTGAAGCTTCAGCTCCACCACCCGCCTTTAGTCACATGTGGATGAGGGGCACACTGCCCACCCATGAGAATCAGAGGTAAACCAAAGAGGCCTGCAGGCAGCCAGCGTTGCTGGGTGGGGTGTGCGGGAGTGGGTGCAGGCATGTCGAAGGGGGAACATAATTAGTCCTTCCAAAGATCTGTTTCTGTTACATAAGGCAATTTAGCATCCTTCTCCCTGGGAAATCTCTTTTGGAGAAAATAGGCCATGCAAATGAAAATGGTAGAATTGGAAAATCGGTTGCATTTATGAACCTCTGCTTGGAAGACATGAAGATGGCTGCTTGTAAACAAGTCAGTTTCCTGGGGACTGGTGACCTGTCCACTGGGACAGATCCAGGGTGTTGTCCCCCACCCCCAAGGAGCAGACGGGTGGTAAATTCTTGGCATCTCCCTAGAAACCAGTCACTATGAAGTCATCTGTTCTTTCAGGCTGAGAAGAATGCTCTGAGGGTGGGGGGAGCGGATGGGGGCAGTTTGGAGGAAGTACCATGGTGCAAAAGATTGAAGGCAGGAGGAGAAGGGGCTACAGAGGAGGAGATGGTTGGATGGCATGACCGACTCAGTGGACATGAGTTTGAGCAAGCTCCGGGAGATGTTGAAGGACACGGAAGCTGGCATTCTGTCGTCCATGGGGTCACAAAGAGTTGGACACAGCTGAGCGACTGAGCGACAACACCAGGGTGCAGGATCGACAGGGGGATGTGAGCAAGGTTCCCCAGACTCTTTAGTCCTAAATCCATGTCCTCTTTCTTCTGTCCCCATTGTGGGCTTTCTTGTTATTGTTCAGTAGCTCAGTTGTGTCTGATTCTTTGTGACCCCATGAACTGTAGCACAGTTCTTTGTCCTTCACCATCTCCCAGAGTTTGCTCAGACTCATATCCATTGAGTTGATGGTGCTATCCAACCATCTCATCCTCTGTTGACCCCTTCTCCTGCCTTCCATCTTTCCCAGCATCAGGGGCTTGTCCAATGAATCAGCTCTGCTCATTCCCAAAGATCCCTTTGTGGGTTGCAGGAGAAATTTCTAGAGCCAACCTTGATCTCGTCCTACAGAGAACTCTCATACCTTGGACACACTTTGGTTCATGAGCTCTGTCTGGGTGGTGATACTGGCCCCCCTGAAAGTTTGCATCTTGATCCTTTATCTTTGAGAAGCTACGGAGTGTTAGAAAGGAGCTGAGATGAACCCAGGAGGCTGCCGGCAATGCAGGGTAGCCCAAAGGAAGATATACTCATGTTTCTAAAAGAAACCCTTCCAAGGGGCAGTGTTGGGGTTGTGGTGGGGGAGGGGGGGCGGAGCGAACTCCAGTTTTATTTTTTCTTCCAATTACTGTTTTACAATGTATCACAAAAGTGCATCTGATTTCTTTTTTCCTGTTTAAGGTGTTATCAGATAGAACTGATGAGTTTGCTCATAAAAACATATAGAAAGAATGGAGCCAGACTTTGGGACAGGCTGTTTGTTGCCTGGGGAGAGGTTGGAGATGGTGAAAGCTCACTCTTCTTTGCTGCGGAGCAGAGGGCCTGTTGGTGTTTGATAGAAAGGGGGAAATGGAGGCGGTGGAGAACTGTGCTTGGCCTTGGTGTGGAGCGGATGCCCCCCTCCGCCCTGCCCTTTATAGCATCTTGCTCGTGGCCTCATCTGTAGCATCCTGGATGCCCTGGACTATAGTGCGGTCCCTGCCTTTCTCTGTGCCACCAGAACAAGCCTGGCCCTGCCCCAGCTTCCAGAGGGCAGTGTGGAGTCAAGGGTTAAGAACACACTGACTAAAAAAAAAAAAAGAACGAACACACTGACTTTCAGGGAAGGCTGCAAAAATCTGAGTTGCTGTCAGGCTTCCGGGTGAATTCTTTTTTAAAAAATGGAAGTATAGTTGATTTACAGTGTTGTGCCCGTCTCTGCTGTGCAGCCAAGTGACTCAGTTATACGTGTGTACACATCCCTGTTACTGACTATTCTTCTCCCTTGTGGTTTATCACAGGATATTGAATATAGTTCCCTGTGCTCAATGGTAGGACCTTGTTGTTCATCCATTCTAAACCTAACAGTTTGCATCTACCAATCCCCAAATCCCACTCCATCCCTCGCCCGCCCCCCCTCCCCTTGGTGACCTCAAGTCTGTTCTCTGTGAGTCTCTTTCTGTTTCACAGACAGGTTCATTTGTGCCCTGTTTTAGGTTGCACATATAAGTGATATCCTGCGGTACTTGTCTTTTCTCTTTCTGACTTGCTTCACTTAGCTTGATAATCGCTAGCTGCATCTGTGTCGCTGCAAATGGTGTTCTCTTTTCACAGCTGTGTAGCGTTCCATTGTACCTGTGTGACCACATCTTCTTGATCCATTCATCTGTCGATAGACATTTACATTGTTTCCAGGTCTAGGCTGTTGTGAACAGTGCTGTTGTGAACATAGGGGTGCGTGTATCTTTTTGAATTATCTGGGTATATTTAGCTACTGCAGGCACCTCTGGAAGAGGGGATAACAGGATTTGCCTCATCATGGGTCATGCTCTTAGCATAGTGTCTGGCGTTCCAAGCATCCTCAGTAAAGGTGGTGGTGGCTGATGGATGTTGGGGAAGGTGTTTGCAGAAGCTTCACCTCTGCTTTCTTCCTGCCTCATCCGTCCATGGGGACGAGCCAGCTCAGCCAAGCCCTGGGCTCCCAGCAGCTACTGTCCTGAGGTGACACTCAAGACTGGGATGGGTGCCCCCCTACTCCCCATTTCTTTCTGCCATCTTTCCCACTCAAAGCCTGGACATAATGAACCCCAATCCAGAAAGACTTTGAAACTCCTTGTTAGAAAGGGCTACCCAAGTGCAAGGGGATGTTTTCTTGAGAAGCTTTTCAACAGCATCCATGAAAAATAGATGAGCTCTCTTGAATTGCAAATGTTCGTAAGGTTTAAGGCAAAAAATGTGAAAATTGGTCTCTCCCTACCCCACACCCCACTCCTGGTGAGGTCAGGGATTCAGTTGTCTCTGTTTAACAATAAACATCAAACACAGTCTTTAGGGCCAGAAAAAAGCTGCTTCCTTGTGGCATCACCCTTCCCAGAAGCTTGAACCCAATTAATTTTAATTCAGTTCCGTTTCCACTGGCTTTTTTTGTTTTTGTTTTTTTTTTTAATATTTCAGTAACTAATAAGCTTTCTCTCCATGCCTGGCTTCATGCCAGAGGCTGTGGGGTTGAAGATGTATAAAACAGTCAAATTCACTCCCATCAGAGGGATTATAATTGAGTTCAATCAGGGCAATACTTGACAGTACAAATGGCTGATTTGTGCCAATTTAAGTACGTAAGAGCCCGCGTGAGCTTCCCAGGTATCTCGGTGGTAAAGAATCTGCCTGCGGTGTAGGAGACACGGGTTCGATTCCTGGGTCAGGAAGATCCCCTGGGTGAGGAAATGGCAACCGACTTCTGTATTCCTGCCTGGAAAATTCCATGGCCAGAGCAGCCTGGCGGGCTACAATCCATAGGGTCGCAAAGAGTCAGACATAACCGAGTGACTGAGCACTCGAGAGAAACACGACTTAGTGACTAAACAAGAAGAAGAGCCCACGTGAGCAGAGGAAGGCGGGTCAGAAATTAAGCCAGGCAGGCTCAGGGCTCCACGGGTTGGTCGTCCACCTCCTTGGCTTCACTGAACACATAAACACTGAGGTTATGATGGAGCACTTTTTGCCTCTGCAAATCCCCTACTTGGGCAGAATCTCAGGAATCGGCTGTAGCTAAGATGGGAGGTTATCAGGAGTCCTCATAGGCTTTACCTCGGTTTGTTCAGCTTGTTCTAGGAAAATGGACCACCCAGGGATATCCTTACCCTTGTTGGAACATGTCAGAACAGCACAGTGCAGGAAGCTCTGGACCACGAAGCCCACTATGGCCCAGGGAGCAGGCCGTGGCTTCCCAGGGCGTCCTCTGGGTCTGGGCGCTTCCCTTGTTCACTACGCAGCTGGGAGCCTGACGCTTTAGGAAACCGAGGCTTCTTAATTCCACTGTGATAGCTCTTCAGAGGGGGTCCTGCTGTGCATTCTTGTGTGCCTCTGAATACCCATGTTCACTTCTCATTGGAAGGATAAAAAGCCCAAAGAACAAGAAAAAAGAGGGGATTTTCTTCATCGACCGTTTTCCAAGAAGCTGGACAAGAACCTGCCGTCGCACAAACAGCCGTCGGCCTCGCTCATCACGCAGATTCAGAGCACCAGGGCCCTGCTCAAGGACCGCAAGGCCTCCAAGCCTGGCTTCCCCGACAAAGGTGGGTCAGCGTGGGGGACTCTCCGGGCCTCATGTTCAACCGCGTGGCTGCTGTGTATCCCATGCTGGTGTCTGTGTGGGCCCCTGGGACAGACACGACTCCTGTGCCACGGGAAAGCAGAATTAATGCTTGAGAGGCAACGTGAGAACAAAAAAGGTCCTGACTGCTTGGTGTGGTCCACCTGTGTGGGCGGGATTTGCGAAACCAGAGATGGGGCGGGTATAGAAATCAGGGTGTAAAGTATTGCAGGAGTAGAGACTGGGGTGCAGAAGCTTGTGGGTGCAGAAATCAGGGTGTAAAGTATTGCTTGTGGGTGCAGAAATCAGGGTGTAAAGTATTGCAGGAGTAGAGACTGGGGTGCAGAAGCTTGTGGGTGCAGAAATCAGGGTGTAAAGTATTGCTTGTGGGTGCAGAAATCAGGGTGTAAAGTATTGCAGGAGTAGAGACTGGGGTGCAGGAGCAGAGATGGGGTGCAGAAGCCAAGATTGGGGTTCAGGAGCAGAAATGGGGTGCAGGAACATAGATGGGGGTGTAGGGGTAGAGATGGGGTACAGGAATAGAGATGGGGGTACAGGAGCAGAGATTGGGAGGGATGATTTTGCAGATGTCAGAGAAATAGACATCAAGGTGGATGGTACTATGGGAACAGAGATTGGGGTACATGGTTTTGTGGGAGAGCAGATACTAGGGTGCATGGCATTGTGGGAGTAGAAACTGGGGTGCTTGGTATTTTATTGAGGTGGCTGAGACTGGGGTGCATGGTTTTGTGGGAGAGCAGATTCCAGGGTCCATGGCATTGTGGGAGTAGAAACTGGGGTGCTTGGTATTTTATTGAGGTAGCTGAGATTGGGGTGCATGGTTTTGTGGGAGAGCAGATTCCAGGGTGCATGGCATTGTGGGAGTAGAAACTGGGGTGCTTGGTATTTTATTGAGGTGGCTGAGATTGGGGTGCATATTATCATGGAACCAGGAATCAGTGTTCAGTTTCAGGGGCAGAGATCAGGGTTCAGGAGCAGGGATGGGGTGTGCTCTCGTGAAAGCCTCCCCCAAAAGTGCACCCTGAGAGGCAGTGACATGTGATCCACAGGATCTGGGCTCTGGGTGGAGGCAAGATGCTTAAACCCAGCTCTGAGGCTGGTGGTGGCCCAAGTTCCTCACCCTCTGAGGATCTTTACTGATTCCCTTCCCTGTGAAAGGAAACCTATCTGTCAGAGCTATTGGGTGGATCCAGTGAGATAAGGGCTCCCCTGATAGCTCAGATGGTAAAGAATTGGCCTGCCAATGCAAGAGATCCAGGTTTGATCCCTACATCAGAAAGATCCCGTGGAGGAGGAACTGGCAACCCACTCCAGTATTCTTGCCTAGAGAATTCCATGGACAGAAGAGCCTGGCGGGCTATAGTCCATGGGGTCACAAAGAGTTGGACACGACTGAGCGATTTACACTTTCACTTTTCACTTCAATGAGAAACACGTGTGGGCTTTCCCTCATTCATCATCCAGCACATGAGGTAACTAATGGATATGGGTCTCCCTCCTCTGGAGCAGGCATCCAGGGATACGGAAAGGAGACTTAACACACCCTGAGGGCCTGGAGGGGACACAGGGAACCAGGAGTGGGTGTCCTGAAGCCACCTGTGGAGTAGAGGCACATGCTCCTTACAGAGGGGATGGGAGAGGTGGTGGCATCCAGCCTTCAATCCCTTTGCTTTAAATATGAAGAAACTAAGGTTCCAGGAGGGCTCTGGCTGTCTGACATTAACCAGCAGGAAAGTAGTTTGTTGTTGTCCAGTCACAATATCATCTCTGACTCTGCGACCCCATGGACCGCAGCACGTCAGACTTCCCTGTCTTTCACCATCTCCCGGAGTTTACTCAAACTCCTGTCAACTGGGTCAGCGATGCCATCCAACCATCTCATCCTCTATCATCCTCTTCTCCTCCTGCCTTCAACCTTGCTCAGCAGCAGGGTCTTTTACAGTGACTCAGTTCATCACATCAGGTGGCCAGAGCATTGGAGCTTCAGTTTCAGCATCAATTCTTCCAATGAATATTCAGGGTTGACTTCCTTTAGGATGGACTGATTTGATCTCCCTGTAGTCCATGGGACTCTCAAGAGTCTTCTCCAGCATCACAGTTCAAAAGCATCAATTCTTTGGTGCTCAGCTTTCTTTATAGTACAACTCTCACATCCACACATGACAACTGGAAAAACCATAGCCTTGACTAGATGGACCTCTGTTGGCAAAGTGCTGGGGACATTCAAAACAGTAGCATGGGTCTTTCTGACTCTAAGAGGGACCAGCTGTCACCCAGGGAAGAGCAGACCTACTTGGTTCCATTTCATTCTGCAGGCGTCAGGAAGGCAGGGGCCCCACCGCAGACACTGCGCGTGTCCCTCCTCGGGAGACCTTCCTTTCTGGCTTTGGAACCAGCAGTGACTCCAGGCCCTCAACAGTGGCATCCTGTGGGTCCCCGAAGGAAGGTCTAGGTAGGAGCTGCATATTTGGGGTTAACTTTGTAGCGGGCTTTCTTGGTGGCTCAGATGGTAAAGCATCTGCCTGCAATGCGGGAGACCCAGGTTTGATCCCTAGGTCAGGAAGATCCGCTGGAGGAGGAAATGGCAACCTACTCCAGTATTCTTGCCTGGAAAATTCCATGGACAGAGGAGCCTGGGGGGCCACAGTCCATAGGGCTGCAAAGAGTCGGACACGACTGACCAACTTCACTCACTTATGTAGCTGCAGAGGTTGAGTCTGTTCCTTGGTGCTTTCCTGGGTCAACTGTCGTCTGTTCTCTGCGTTTTGCCTTTGTCCTGCGACTTGGGAGTCTGTTGCCGAGAAGCGCTGAGGAGCCTGTCTTCACTGTTCGCACTGACCACTCATGGTGTGGCGGGCACTGCTTCAGCTCTTACCTCAGCCGGTGAGATCATTCTCATCCCCATTCCTGGAGGTGAGGAAGTAGCACAGAGTGTTGTCCAAAGTCAGGGAGCTGGTAAGTGATGGAGTCCAGATTTCCAGCCCAGCAGCCTGGCTCTAGAGCTCTCTCTGCTGACCAGGGTAGCTGACTCCCTCCCGGGAAGAACGGGGTGAGGAGGAGCCAGTCACATGCTCAAGACTCGGGGGTGACTCTGCCCTTCTCGCTGGGGACCATGCAGGGTCCAGGTCTCTGTCCCGGGGTTGACTCTGGGGTGGGGTAAGGAGGGTGCCTGTGGGAGGGATCCTGCCAGGATTTACACCTCTAGGCAAACAGAGGAAGCAGAAGGGGGTGGAGGGAGAAGCTGGGCTACAAGATTGGGGCACACAGCCATCTCAGGGAAGGAACGCTGGAGACGTTAGCCGTCAGTGAAATTTCCCTTCTCTCTGCCCATGAATCTCAGGCATCTGTGCTGGCCCCAGGAGGAGATTTATTTGGGGAATCTGTGTATATATTTATGTAAGGGGAAGAGGATTCCCAGTGCCCTTGGCTGTCGCCGAAATCGCTCCCAGTGGCAACCGCTCGTTCCTGCCTCCGGACTCCAACAGGGCTGTCAGGTGTGATGGTAGGAGAAGCAGCCAAGTCAGGACCTGATCCATGTGAACCTGGCTTCACTTCCTTCAGCGCCAAATGCCGGGGGGTTTCCCTTTCTTCTCTGCCAAAGGCTGCAAACCTGGATTCTATCCTGTGCCAGCTTGAGATGGAAGCCACGGGAGTTGGCTGGTTGCCTGAGATATATAGATGAAGAGTATTTCACCCCTGTTCAGGATTGGGTGAGGCTCCGGGGAGATCAGAAGTCATGAGAGAGTCTTTAAAAGGGAGGAAATTCTGGGGCTTCCCTGGTGGCTCAGTGGTAAAGAACCCGCCTGCTAATGTGGGGGCCACAGGTTTGATCCCTGATCTGGAAAGATCCCACATGCCGAGGAGCAAGTTAGCCCATGCACCACAACTGTTGAACCTGTGCGCTAGAGCCCTTGAGCTGCCGCTGCTGAAGTCCACACACACTGGAGCCCATCCTCTGCACCAAGGGAGGCCACCAAAATGAGAAGCCTGCACACCGCACCTAGAGAGCAGGCCCCGCACAGCAATGAAGCCTCGGCACAGCTGAAAGTAATGAATAAATAAAAGTTTTAAAAAGGAAGGAAGTTCCGACCCATGCTCCAGCACAGAGGAACCTGGAGAACACTGTACTCAGTGAAACAAGCCAGTTATGAAAGGACAAATACTGTAGATTCCACCTTACATGAGGAAGCTAGAGTAGTCAGATGTATAGACCAGTTGCCCCTGACAACCACTAGCAGATCTGCAAGTGAAGAGTTCTATTTCACAGCCATGTGAATGTCCTTAACTGCACTGTACACTTAAAAGAGGTTAAGTAATAAATACATAAACAGTTTAAAATTTATGTTATGTAATTTTTACCATAATTTTTTTTTTTAAGTTATGAAAAAACCTTCCTTCTGGTTTTGATTATCTGAGGACCAAACTTGCAAGTCCTCAGTGAGTTGGGATCCACATGCTTCCGGCAGCTTTGTGGTCATCCTGTTAAGCCGCAGACCTTTTCATTCAGAGGCTCTTGGATGGGGTCCAGAGTTTTAAGCAACCAAAAGGAGAGCAGAAGTTAAGCTGGTGCCATGAGGCAAGTCAGAACCCAGGAGGCCTCCCCTGTCACCAGCCTTCTGTCCCCTCCACTCCAGGAAGACCGTCCGGCTCCCCATGGGGAGAGCGGGAAGGCATGAGCTCCTTGGTCCCATCTGACCTCCTCGGTGCCATCTGACCTCCTCAGGCACCTCCCACCCCGTCTCGGTGAAACTGGAGGTCCGAGTGCATGGGAACAGGGCCGTGGGCGCTGACTGTGTGGCCGTCTTCATCTTTCCTTTTCTTTTTTGATGTGCAGATTCCTTTGGCTGCCGCAGTATTTTTCGCAAAACCTCGGACTCCAATTGTGTGGCCTCCTCCTCCATGGAGTTCATCCCCGTGCCACCCCCCAGGACCCCCAGGATCGTGAAGAAACCGGAGCCCCCTCAGCAGGGGCCTGGGAGCACCAGCCTCCCCGTCAAGGAAGACCCCCTGCTGCTGGATATGGTGCGCTCCTTTGAGTCCGTGGATCGCGACGGCCAGACGGACCTGCTCTCCCCGTCCCATCACTACAGGATTCTGAACTCCCCTGGGGGTCTGGCTCGCTGTGAGCGGACACTCTCGCCCATCCTGCTGCCCGGAAGCCCGTCGCCTCTCCAAACTCCTTTGCACCCCACTCTGGTCTCCTTTGCTCACGAGGATAAGAACAGCCCACCCAAAGAGGAGGGCATGTGCTCCCCAGCCCCGGGGCCCGGTAACGGCCCTGCGCAACCCCTGGGGAGCCCCAACTGTGTCAAGAGCCGAGGCAGGTTCCCCATGATGGGCATCGGACAGATGCTGAGGAAACGGCATCAGAGCCTGCAGCCCCCTGCAGACAGGCCCCTGGAGGCCAGCGTGCCCCCGCTGCAACCCCTGGCCCCCGCAAGCCTCTCCTTCGACTTGGCTGATGGGGTCAAAGGCCAGTGCTAACCTGTGCCGGCAAAGGGGATCCGGGCGTTTCTAAGAAAAGCAGTGCAAATCCGCCAGGGTGCGGAGACTCTCACGCCTCTCCTGGAGCACGCTTCACAGCCTCACCTCCTCCTGACACTCGCTGTCCCTACAGCTGAAGCCCACAGACCCAGAGCCTGTATGGCCCGGTCTCATGTAGGGTCCCCACTGGAGACTCCCAGGAGGGTTGGCTGTCCGTGCGGCCAACTCCGTCACCCATGGCCTCCTTCCTCCCGCCTGTTCAGTGGCCCTCCACCCCCCTGCCTCAGCCGGGCTGCAGGGAGAACCCTGCACTGGCCGGCCTGCCCGGATGATACGCCCTTCTGAGCTGTTTCTCCACTGTGCTGTGTGTGCCTTAGTGGGTTGGTCTCGTATCAGCACTCACATGGCAATGGAGGCACAGCGTGGTTCGCCCAGGCCACAGTTTCCCCTGCTTTGATAGAGGGAACTCCCTGCAGGGTGGCAAGAGCTGGTCACCCAGAGAACCCAGCTTCAGGAAGCCCTGGGGAAGATGGGCAGGAAGCTTAGAAACCAGCATCACCCACTCCGATTGGGTCCAAGACTGATCCCCACAGTGGCGTCCCCAGTGAATGGAAAGGACCAGTGTGGGACACTCATTTGCCAAGCAGGGTCTTGATGGAAATTTTTTTCACTTGGTTGAAACTTGCTAACAGTTGAATTATTAGTATCTTCTCCAAAGGTGATTGTTCTTTATGTGATGTCGTTAAATCGAGTCAACATGATTTTTAGAAACCTGGGTGGTGAGATGGGAAGTGATTTCACCAAACTCCTGTTCTCACAAGAGGATGAGCATGGAGCCCATCAAGGCTTGCCCAGGCAATATTTTTAGTGGCGCTGGCCCGTGGTGGCCTGCAGGAGGGGACGTGATCCTAGCTGGCCACCTGTCCTTCCCATCAGATCAACAGAGCCCAGATCCTTCTGGAAGGTGCAGAGCATAGTTACAGTCAGTTATTTAGAAAGAGAAGACAGGTAAGGTTGAATATGGACGTGCCCGGAAGGCAGCATTAGCTCTGTGCATTGCAGTGTTCAAGCTGCTAAGGAAACAAGTGTGGTTTAGAGCTCAGCCAGTTTGCCGTGAGCAGTGAAAGGCTCGTGTGGAGGGACTCACGTTCAAAATACAGTACTGTATCTTCTTTGAGGAAAGCAGTGTTCCTCAAACAAGGCTTTGAATCTGTGGTCGGCTTTCACACCTTTTGCCAAGGATGGAACCAAAGATGCACCTCTGGGTCTGTGTCCGTGCCGTCCCTGTGTATGTGTTTTCTGGACCCCACTGTTGTCTGACTGTGTCTAGTTTGGAGCCTGCCAGGAGCTGTCTCCACTGGGGCCGGGGCCCTGGCCCTTGGTGGGGACCACTCGGCCATGAACAGAATTGGCAAAAGAAGAATCGGCACAGGTTGGATGCAGGTCAGCTCACAGACAGGTTCCACTGTGGCTTGGCGTCTTCAACTGCTGGCTGGTGCGGGTGTGACCAGAAACCGCTGCTGGGGCCACCTCAGGGCTAGTCCTCCCAGCCCACTGATCCGAAAGAAGTCCATGACCCTGGAGCCTTGCAAAGCCCGCCTTCACTTCTGCCAGCAGCCAGCCTGTGCCAGAGAGCGGTGAGGGTGGGTCTTCCTTTCTTCTCGTTCCGCACTGGTGACCACCTCCTGCCCCAGGTGTCCCTGAGTGAGCGAAAAGGGGGGGACACCTGGCCGTGCCCAGCCTTGGCTGATCTTGACGAGACCCGGGGCGGCTGCTCCCCTCGCCTTGTTGGGGATCACCCCAGCCCTGGGGCTTGTTGGGAGGAGGTCAGACTCCCCACTGTGGTTGGCACCCATTTGGATGGCTCCAGACCAGGTTCTGGAACTTTCCATTGAAAAATAGAGCTTTTTTAATTTTTTAAGCAGAGGGAAGAAAAGCAGCAGCTGAGAAGTCCCTCTCTCCATTTGACACGGAGTGCTGAGTTTTTGATCGGTGAAGAAGCCTCTTTGAAGATGGCTTCCAGCTGCAAGTGTGGCTCCGCAGGCTTGCCGGCTGCTTGCCCGCGAACTTGGCCTAAGCTCTTATGTCTCTCTCGTGTGTTTTACCGGCCTCGAGACCATGAGCGTTTCTGCGTCGCTGTGTTTGCCTGCTGGGGCGTGTTCTCCGATCCTGGCACGCTTCCAGACAGCTGACTGTCTGTATCACCACTGGCAGCTTGAACTGTGAACTCAGGTTTATTCCAAGCCCAGTGAGAGGTGAGGGGGCCAGTGAGGAAGGGGAGAACCCGTGTTTTGTGTGTGTGAGGAGCTGACAAATTATGGGATTGAGTGAGAGGAGAAATGTTGAGTTCTTTATTATTTTATTATATTTATATGGAGACCTTGAGTATCCCTTTGGTAAGTACAGAGCGTGTTTTGTCTCTTGGACCCATGGCTGTCTCTTGTTAGTCTGCACCCGTGAGCTTGGCCAGCCTGTGTGCGGTTACTGCCGGAAGTGACGACTTTCATCGTGTGATATCCGGAAGCCAGGGTGGCTTTGGTTGTACGGTTTGGTCATAAGTAAGGACTGTATTTATGTCACCTTTATGAAATATATGTACTTTTATAACGACTGTGAAATACACTTTTCCCTCACTATGACTGCTTCGTTTATTGACTGGTACGTCTGAAAACTAAGAGTGTGTTTGAAAAGAGGGGTGTCGGCTTCTAAGTAAGGTTCTTGGCCCAGCAACAGACAGAATACAAGAGAGGACTGCGGTGCAGGCATTCAGGGCATTTTCGGCTCTGCCTCATTGCTACACGGGTGCCTGCAGACTTCTGTCTGCCTGATGTACTGCACATGGCTGTTCAAGGTGAATCAACTATTTTTTTTTGGAGGGGAAGAGTTCAGGTTTTTCCTTGTGAGGGTGTAAAAGTGTTAGTCACTCAGTCGTGTCTGACTCTTTGTGACCCCATAGACTGTAGCCCACCAGGCTCCTCTGTGCATGGAATATTCCAAGCAAGAATGCTGGAGAGGGTTGCCATTCCCTTCTCCAGGGAATCTTCCCGACCCAGGGACTGAACCTTGTCCTGCATTGCAGGCAGATTTTTTACTGTCCCGAGCCACCAAGGAAGCCCCGGAATTCCTGACTTTCCCCAGCCTCCCTCCCCATCTTCTCAAAGGCATCTGCCCTCATAAAATCTTCACATGCTTAAGCCCATTTCAGTGTCTGCTTAAGCAAGACACAGACTAGCTTAAGGCTCTGAAAATAATGCATGAAGAATGACATCTGTGAACGTCCCCTCTAGATTCTGGTCCTTGTTTCAGGACTTGGTGAGGGTTAGGGGGAATTGAAGTGATGAGTAGAATGGACGGGGAGTCCAGATGGGATGTTTGGATTGGCCCAGTTCTGACTTCCTTTATAACTGTTCACAAAACATTTTTCATGTTGATGGACTTTCTTAAGCCCTGCATCCCCTGGGCTGTGTGGCCTTCCTGTGCAATATAGCATGGTAGAAAGCGGGAGGCCCATGGTTTCCGCTTCACGAGGCGCTCTCTGAAGTTTAACGGGGTGGGGGTGGGGGGACCAGAAGGTGTAGCTAGTATTGATGATGATAGCAACCCACTCCAGTATTCTTGTCTGGAGAAGCCCGTGGACAGAGGAGCCTGGAGGGCTCCAGTTCATGGGGGTGCAAAGCATTGAGCATGACTGAGTGATAAATCCTTCTTTGTTTCCAGAATCAGGGCATTTTAGGACAGAAAGGGACTTGAGATTATTGGGTGCAGCTCAGCCTTTTTGTGTTCTTTTGAACTTTTTATTTTGTATTGGAGTATAGCTGGTTGACAGTGTTGCGATGGTTTCAGGTGAGCAGTGAAGGGACTCAGCCAGACATAGACACGGATCCAGTCTCTCCCAAACTCCCCTCCCATCCAGGCTGCCACATAACATTGAGCAGAGTCCCATGGGGTGGAACCCCGGCTTTTTTGAAGAAGAGAAAACTGGGAGCCCGAATGGTTTAGGGACTCCAGTGTCCTGAGTGAGCTGGTCCCAGAGGGATTTCGGGGGACATGGCCTCTACCTCCATGAACACAGAGAAATCAGAGAGCTTGGCCACCGTGGGCAGAGGGGACAGTCAACTGCAGATTGAGCTGTCCTTACAGCACGCATCTTTGAGGTGTCTGTGTGGGCCAGGTCTTCGCAGTGTTAAGCCATTCTCAAAATCATATGGCTTGTTGAGATTCTGAGCATCACTGCCTTTCCGCCATCTACCATCAACTCTTAAACCAGGGCAAAGACTGTTTCTTTCTCAACAGATCTCCCAAGTAAGCAGCCACCCCGGATCTCCTCCATATCTACGTTAGCTGTTAAAAGGCTGCTGGGTTTTACTAGATTAAGTCAATAAAATACTTGCTGTATAGCCGTGTCATAAAATGAGACCAATCCAGAAAGAATGCAAGACTGATATCTTTAGGGGGGTGTCTGGAAGCCTCTCGAATATGCATTTGTTTTCTCTATAAGACACTCTCTGTGCTACAGGCACAGTTAGAATAATTCAGAGCAGGACTGGGAGCTGGTTCAATTTCATGTCATCACTTTTGAATGAAAGGAGCATATTTCCTGAGTAGTAAATGAGTGTATTATTTGTGGCAGTTTTTTTTTTTCTGTCAAGGGAGCGCTTCAGACATCTGGTTCCAAAGACAAATGTGGGTCTATATTTGTTCTTCTTTTCTGCGGACCTCTTTTCAGAACACTATCTCTCAGAGCTGATGTCTGAGGCACCAAGGTCTGGGGGTGGTAAAGAGTGGGGAACATCGTAGCCTTTGCAATTTCCTTCCACATCTATATCTGCCTTTGAGCTGGGGTGCACATAAGGAGGCCTTTGGGGGCGGCAGCTCTGAGTGTGTGGAACAGACTGATGTACTGGAAGCTCAGGGACTAACCAATGACCACATCACAGAGTGGACAATGCCAGGGAGATGCATTATTTACAGATGAAATAAATAAATGGCTCTGATTTAAGGGCCTGAGCTAGTTACACAACATATTCCTTGCTCAGGAGATGGCCCAAAGCTATTTTTTCCCCTAATATTTATTTTTGGCTGCATCAGGTCTTTGTTGCACGTGGGATCTTTGCTGTGGGCTCTCTGATTGTGGTGCAGGGGCTAGGTAGTTGTGACCGTGGGCTTCGTTGTCCCACGGCATGTGGACTTCCCCGGTGGCTCAGGGGTGAGGAATCCGCCTGCAATGTAGGAGATGCAGTTTGCTCCTGAGTCAGAAAGACGCCCCGGAGAAAGGAAATGGCCACCCATTCCGGTACTGTTGCCTGGGGTATCCTGTGGATGGAGGAGCCTGGCAGGCTACTATTTCTGGGGTCACAAAAGCAATGGACATGACTGAGCAACTAAACAACAATGTGCGATCTTGGTTCCCCAACCAGAGATCAAGCCCATGTCCCCTGCATTGGATGGCAGATTCTTAACCACTGGACCTCAAGGAAAGTCCCAGCCTAATAGCTATTTTGAAAGAAAAGTCTTTGGCTGATATTGTATATATAAACCCTCAGGAATAACAAACTGTATTCTTTCTAGGCGTTGTTACCATAGCCAGCTAACCAAGGGCAGAGTGCAAGCATGTGTTAGGAGTAAGGCTTCCCGTGCAAGATTAGGTAGTGAGTTCACGGCAGGTCTGAGATGGACGTGTCTTTTGTGACCCTTTCCCAGCATTCAGCTCTCTTCTGACAACCAGTGTGTTCGATAGATCAGGTTTTGCTGTGATAGACTGAGCTCCAGATCTCTGTGATTTGCACAATAAAGCTTTATTTCTTACTTACGCAATGTTTGTGCAGTTTGGCTGACGCCAGAGCAGCTCTCTCCCACGTGTTAGCTCAGGGATCCAGGTTGCTTCCAGCCTGCAGTTCTGTCCATTCAGAATGAAGCTGCTCTGGCTGCCGTAGCCAAGAGGCTTCCTGAGACAGGGAAGCTTGGTATGCTGCAGTCCACGGGGTCATGAAGAGTCAGACAGTAACAAAATGGCCAAGTAAGGGCGAGCTGGAGAGCTTCCACTGGCCCTAAGAGCTCCATAAAGGCCGGAACTAGTCCTCTGGGCCTTCCTGTGAGCAGGATGCGGAGAAATGTGAGGGAGTATATGGTAATTTTGAGCATTACTTTGCCAGCATGTGAAATGAGTGCAATTGTGCGGCAGTTTGAACTGTCTTCGGCATTGCCCTTCTTGGGGATTGGAATGAAAACTGACCTTTTCCAGTCCTGTGTCCCCTGCAGAGTTTTCCAAATTTGCTGGCATCTTGAGTGCAGCACTTTCACAGCAATATGCATATTTTGGGTGCACTTAATGTTTCTGCCACAGGGGACGTACAGATGCCTCTCCTAACAGTCCCTTAACATTGGACTGGACTTTCCCACTGTTACACAGTTATGGATCCTCTTCACGTGTAAGGATTGTTCATTGTTTAGCCGCTCTGTCACGCCCAGCTCTTTGTAACCCCATGGACTGCAGTGCTCCAGGCTTCTCTGTCCTCCACTGTCTGCCGGAGTTTGCTCAAAA